GCAGTTTGAATATTTGATTGATTATTACAGTATTCAAAAGTACTTCAATTAAAATTTAAGGCAATGCAAACTTGGAAGTATTCGATATGAATGAATAGATGCATATCAATCCATACGCAACCCCCTGTAAAGGTGCTTTCACTGTAGTGGAGGAGTGCAACACCGTGAATTTATTAACCCAAGAGAAATCTGCACTGCCGCAAAGCCCCACTTCAAGGTTAAATGAACTTTTTGCCACAGTACTTCAACACTATTGCTACGATATTACCCTTGTATTGATTTGCCATTTTTAAAATTTAAAAGCCTGTTATACCAACTTATATACTATAAATATAGCAAATTTTAAAGCATTACATATTTTACAGGTTATCACTTGCATTCTACCAAAAGAGGAATGCAGCTACTATTGAAAGCTGCTTTTACCACCTTCGAACCAAAAAGAGTAACGCTGTACATGCCTTGTTTCAATTAAAAAAAAAAAGATTATTTTGCAGGTTAGTTGGGTCAAGACTCATTTTTCTTTATACTTACCAATTTACTAGTCACTTTGAACCAAAAAGTTACTATTTCCACAAGCTTACTTACATGCAACCTTTCAAGTTTTGATGTTGAACGTTTTCTGGCATTTAAAAAGAGCCCACGAAATATGAAATAAAAGCATGTGACTGAGCGGACAACTTTTCTTGGCTATGGGGACTGCACACCTCCGCCAAGCAGTCCGCTTTGGCTCGCACTTCGAATGATGGCGGTGCTCGAACAACAACACTGCATTAAATTTCCTACGTCTGCTGAGACTGCCATTCGTGAGTGAAAGCTCCTTCAGCGAGTCGTCTAAATAGCTGGATGGTGACGAGCGCTCACCCAAAGACGAAGTGGCCGTTTTAACAGTACGGTGTATGTAAAAAGAGCGAGGTTTCCACAAGTACAAGAGCACAAAATGACACTTCATGAAAAAGAATTATGAATATGTCTCTGGTGTGTGCTGTGTCTCCTTGTAAACAACATCACATACAAAATAAAGTGATGATTTTCACATGAAAATAATATTCAGTGGTGGCACATGGCTCCGTAGCCTTCAATGCCAAGAAAAGTTGTTCGCGACTATAATATGTACTATATTGCAAGAACTGTACTTGCAGCGACACAGTCAGCCGTGCAGACCGTGGCAAAATCAGCGGCTGCGAGTCTTGGCACTAGATTCAAAGCATATCAGTGTTTTTGATGGCGCCACACGAAAAGGGACTGCCCTGATAAGCAGTAGTTTGATGGTTGACGCACAATATTTAAAAAATAAGTTTCATTCAGTTGCAGTCAGCCTGTTTTTTTTTTAATCCTTGGTACACGAACAACCTTTTTCGAGTGCCCGAATGTTTCAGTTGGGAACTCTGATGGGGTTTTTGTTCTCTTTGAAAGACGTGCTTTATGCCAGCAATGGCTGAGCATATCCACATGCAGAGTGAACCGTCACTGACTCATCAGTTGGACCTTTCAGAAGAATCACGTGGTTTTTAAATGTAAATTTTGTACTGCAAGTCGCCATAACGACCCCTAACAATCACCTAATCATAATGGGGATATTAGTCATCACTTCATTTCTACAGGCTTATTTGAAATATGTTTGCACATGTGGAATCTACATTCAATGACCGTGCAAATTTTCATTAAAGTAGGGCCATAAATAGAAAAACTTCCTTCAGGACCTTCATCCCCTTGAAGTAAAATGAAAAGACCAATTTTACATCTAACTTTTCCTTTTCAAATTAAAACGAATGCAACATTTTTCGTTGCCTCGAAGCAAAATGTTCACTAACAGGGTATTGCAGAGTTGTTCCTGGTGCTAGGTGTTCCCTTAACACCATGTGCACTATTGTCAACACACTTGATGACATCAGAAAATGGGAATAAGTGCTTTATTGCACCAATATGACACAAGACGCTCATTTTGTTGAAACAGTGAGTAACTATTTTCCCAAGAAAATATCTGCAGAACCTGGCCAAGTGAACATTGTGCTGCAAGTGCACAATGTGGCGTGCTGCTCACAATTAATCAAACAAGTGCTGATATCATTTTTTTGTGTGTTGGCTGTAACTACATGAAGAGCCCTGGCAAAGAACTCTGGTTAATCTCAGTGACAAGTACTACATGAAACAACATCACTTAAGTACTCGCAAGCCTTTTGAAAATGCCATTGCACAATTTTGTTTTGAAACACTGTTCATAGCATATTGGCTTGTTTTATGCATAATAACATTCTTGCAAAACAATGTGGTTAGGATAGTATTCTGCACATTGTTCCAGGTAAAAAGCATGGCCACCATATAGCATATTCAACACAAGAAAAACAAATGCAAGCATTTTACAGCGAGACAATGTACAGAAGAGTCCACCGCCAAGAGGAATATCGGAGCGCGTGGCGTCTGCTCGGCGCCACCGGCTGCGGCAGCTAGTTTCGTGCAGGAGCAGTGAGCGCTGTGGGCGGCGCTCGTTTGCCGTGCTGCAGTTGAGGCCGCTCTTCAGCTTGTAGCGAAGGGCAGCCTATGACGCAAAATCTTAAAAATAGTCGCTTTCTTTCAAGCTAGAAGAAAATGACAAGAATTATCCATAATCAGATAAATGTCACTTGACACATCAGCTGGATAGCCTCCTTTCGTTCAACTTCTCGTTACATAAAGAATCGCCCACTTAAAGAAAGTATTTTTTTGTGCTGTCACTTGAAGGCGCTAGTAAATGCTTGTAAATGTAAATGCTGTAGTGCACTTGTATTTTTCACCTCCAGTACGTGTTTCATACCGAGCCCCATTTCTATCTTCCATAATGTAAATGATTTGTTGAGCTAACGCACTGCAGCAGCTAAAATCTGAATTAGTGTGCACCGAATATGCACTACACAAGTAAAAATACCCTTTAATATAGTTATGCTAGTAAAAGACATCTGTAAAGAAGTAGCCATGCTTCATTAATCACGAAAAGTATCAATGAGGTAGTATTTTACACAATCTAACTTTTTTTGAGCTTTGCCACAGCTTTCCATCCAAATGTGGCCAACTGCTGATGCAGCCTGCAGACTCATTTCAAAGCGCGAGAACGGCTGGCTTAGCGACGAGCTGAAGCGCAACTGTAACTGTAGCAGACGACAAACGAGCGCCGCCCACAGAGCTCACTGCTGCGGCGCCAAACTAGTTACCGCAGCGGGTTGGTGGTGGTGCTGAGCAGAAGATGCGCTACGGTGTTCCCTTTAACAGTGGACACCCGCCTCTGTACAAAACAGGACCCATTAGGTGAACAAGTAGCAGTGCCATGGCCAAATGCCTTTAAACAATCAGTGTAAGTAAACAGAACTGTGAAACACTGTAACACACGAGTGAAATTATATAAACATTCTAGTACGCACTCAAAGAGTACTGAACCACTTTTTCAAGTAAACATCAAAAGAGCTCAGTTTATTGCCTTACAAATCCATAACCGAAGAAATACCTCGAATCTGCCAAGAGCGAGTGAGGAGATTTGTTGCACACTTTGAATTCTTTCTTAATAGTGCAACTAGGTCATTCCTCGAAAAGACTCTCACAACGCACCCCACACTCTTTCTTAAGTAGAAGTGAGTTTTTTTTACAGGTTCTGGAAACAAGTTTTTCTGAGAAACTTCATGGGTACAATATTATACAGTCCCCCTCACACTTGAAGTTTATTAAAGATATTTTATACTACCGTATAAACCCGAATATAAGTCGAGATATTTTCAATAAAACAACAAGCTAAAGTCGCCCCTCGTCTTACATAGGGGTGTCTAGCCGACAGTGCACCGCTGTCTGGCGACGTGTGGCTTGCATGTGCATGAGAAGCTGGACACAGCCATATTCGCATTCAAATCCAATAGCAGGTTGTAGTTTTTTCTCTCTTGTCTGTTTTTTGTGTTCGTGATTTGCCTCCAATCTGTTCTAAGTTCTCACTCCGCTTGACATTGTGTTTCATTTTTAGTGGTCTTTTTTTCGTTCACTAAATATGAGTAGTGGTACGAGAAGGCAGTACTCAGCTGTGTTTAAACCAGAGGTTCTTGAGTTCGCAGAAGCAAATGGGAATATGGCTGCTCAGCGCCACTTTGGTGTATCAGAAAAAAAGCGTGCGCTATTGGAGGGTGCAGAAAGGGAAGCTGCAAATGTGCAATCCTCCGAAAATGTCACTTCGTGGGCGACGTGCAGTTCATTCGCAGCTGGAGGATACGCTAGAGAACTTTGTGTGGGAAGTTCATGCGTGCTCGCTGCCAGGGACCGTGGATACCATTCGCAAGAAAGCTGTCGAACTCGCTCGAGAAGCTGGGCTCATGAGAGAAGAGTTTCGTGCACTATACTCTTGGGTGCGTCGATTCATGAGACGCAAAGGATTTTCTTTTTCGGTGGCGCACATCCATCTGTCATAAGTTTCCAGACGAGTTCGAGGAAAAGCTTATAAACTTTTAGGGCTTCATGAGCCGGCTTCGGGAGCAAAACAACTACATGATGGGGCAGACTGACAATACCGATGAGATCCCCGTGTGGTTTGACATGCCTTCATCGACCATGATCATGCAGCGTGGCACCAAGGATATGAAGCTGTTGTCCACTGGCAATGAGCACTCGCGCTTCACCGTCATGCTGGCATGCATGGCAGCTGGAGTACCAAAAGTGGATGTCCGGCGACAACCCAAAGACACCGATAGGCCGCCTACAGAGGCCTCCGCTTGCGACTGTTTGTGGCTGGGTGCTTTCCGCCTGGCATTTCTTGCCAGATTCCATGGTGGAAAATGCTTTTAAGAAATGTTCCATCAGCAACTCGCTGTATGGCACGGAAGACAACGCACTGTGGGAGGCGGCCAGCGACAAACTCTCGTCTTCAGAAGACAGTGGTGCTTTGTCTGACGAATAGTGGTTGAGAGATGGTGGTTGAGGGGAGCTCCTACGATCGGGGTGTGGTGCGCCCAATTGGCAAATAAATGTCGTTCGACAATTTAGGGTTGTTTTCCTTTTTTTTCTTTTTCGGTAACCTGAACTTGGGGGGTCAACCTATATTCCCACTCAACCTATAGTCAGGTTTATACGGTACATGTTCTGATCCACTGCCTAAATACTCCGGTTGGATGCTGACAGTGGAGTGGTGTGCGTGCTCTCATATTTTTTATCACCGAAGGCATTGACCTGAAAACATACATGGGATGTATGTTGAAATTTTAAGTGAGTTTGCAGTACTTCATAGGTGCTTCACACAACACATTTATCTTGACCAAATTGGATTTCCATAGACTACTATACTCAGGAAAAACTTTCTGTGGAAATGAAGAAAAAGCTACGGGGGCAGAGCTACAGCAGATATATTCTCCTGCAAAGATGTCTGGCTCGACTCAATGCCGGCCGTGTTCGAATAATACCACAGCACAGAATTCACTACGTCTGTTTGCACAAATATTTGTGAGTGAGATTCGACACAAGCTTCCTCTTCGAGTCATCGGAATAGCTGGAGGGCGACGAGCATTAACCTAAACGACAAAGACGCCATTTTTAATGTGAGGTGCACCTAAAATGTACGACGTTGTCAGACATGCAAAATTGTGAAATGACACTTCACAAAGCGAAACGAATATTATATATCGTTGGTTCATGTACCGCCTCTTTTATAAACAGCATCCCGTAGAAAAATAATGTTTTCTTTAATATGTTCACTCGGAAAACACGGGCACCTTAGTGGGACTATATTCTCCAGAGGTGGCACACATCCACTTTGGTTCTGTAGCCTTCTCTTCATTGCCACAGAAAGTTGGCTTAGAGTATATCAGTAGTGCTCTCTGAACTGCTTCCATTCAGTCCTCCATGCATGCGACTTTATATTAAAGATCATTTCCGTATGTAACTGCTTCTGTGTTAATTCTGAGAACTTAATGTGGCTGACTGGACTATTTTGTCTTCATGGGCAAGTGTGACGCTTTCTGTGCCGTTTTATTTGTTTTTTTTTTTTTTTGGCACTGTTTAATTGAATTCTGAAAAGGCACGGACAAAAAGTAGCGTACTGAATACCATGCAATCAGGGGACGGTAGAGTATACATATATGTATTTATGTATGGAAAGCTCTGCATAAGGTAACGTGATGCTTCTGACGTTAATTTTACTCAACAGTTCAACAAAATGCCTCGATTATTATGAGCTGCAATATAAACTCCCAGAGCTTGCTGGGCAGCAGAGAGAAAATGCAGCACCCAGTTCGGTCACTGCTCAGCTTTAAAAAGTTGCCAAATGCACTCAGCTATGATCGCACATAGTTGCCAAAAAAATGAAGACAAAGGCCTCTTTTAGGTCTGATTAATATGACTTGGACAGCCACGGGGCAGACTGTTTGCGTACAACAAACAAATGTAAATAATGTAGTAATGCAAGGATGAAATGAGATAGGTTCAATAGAAAATTGTTCCAGAGGTGATGGAAATTAGCAACAGCACTCCTTGGGATGAGAAACGTGCATAATGGGAAAATGAAGGGAAGTCTGGTTTTTGCACAAGTGTATATGCCATGCAGGATCAATCCCACAATCTGAGATACAGGTTTCTCACCCACTGCACATTTTTTTTTAGCTCAACACAACTGCAAGAAAGCTCCAAGGTCTCTCGCTTGGTTGAGAGCACTGCAATATCATAGTTTCAGGAGCACGGTCATATACTATTTCATTTCGAATTTCTTGGGCTTTCTATAAATGCCAACAAAAAACCACCATGCAACAAGTACATTACCGCACACAAAAAAAATAGATCAGTCTTTCCTAAATCTCCACTGAAAAATGCACACTTTTCTTTTAAGTGAACATCAAGAATTTCGCATAATTTATCTTAGATAGACAACTAATTAAAAGGCCTCCGCAATGCTTTTTGAGCATGGCCAGAAAATGCTGTCGATTGGTGAGAACACGCGAGTCAAACATTAAAGTGCAGCCTGAAAGTCAGATATAAATCACTCTATCTTCTTGCTAAAAAGAATGCCATGTACTCAAATGCCATTGGATTTTTAGCTGACCTACTGAAAGCAAGTTGAGCATTAAAAATGAAAAAAATAAAGCGGTCATTACAAGAGCATGCTCTACTCATACCCGACAGATTCTAAAACTTTTTGCAGCAGTTCATTCACGACACGATAATCCTTTGATGATTACTCATGTTGCAGGGCCTTTAGATTATGAAACGTGCTCAGACACATTGTGGCAAATGATGTTGGTTTTACCCAGTATATCTTCGGTTGTAATCGTGTGAAAGACCCAACATGGGTCATGCTTTGGCACGGCATGAGAGAATATCCTCCACTCACAGAAACTAATGTGACCATTATGTTAGGCACTAGCTATGCTTGCATTTTTTTAGGAGATTTATTTTCCTGGAAAGATTGATTGTTTTGATGCACTGTGAGAGCAGCACATACCACCGCAGCCAATGCGTTTGTCAGCCATCATTCTGAGCCACATTTCAAAAAGCACAACATCAGTGCTTGCCACTCTCGTGGAAGTGCTGCAAAAGCTCACTGACATTCATGGTGAACTCGGCCAGTGCAGATCACATCACTGCACCCCTTGGACATTAATTTACAATACTGCTGCACTGCTCTTGATGCTAGGAGTCTGATAGAATCCCGTTTGGTCGGGAGGGAGGAGGCATTTTCAGTTTAAATTGAACGCTCATCAAAACAAAACAAACAAAAACATACTGGTTTTGACACAGGAACCAAATGTCCTTGTCAGCTTTGCATGGTTTTCAGGAAATCGGTTTATAGCTACCTTTGCCATATTCACGCACTGTTTCAAGTTGCAAACTCTATCCATGCGCCACTCCCCACAGCCCAGTTCGACGAGCACTTGCAGCTCGACTCTGTGGAACTGATTTTCCACTCAAGACACCACGCTTCAGCAGCTAGCGTTCTTCCGCCCCAGACGTGGAAATCACGAGCGGCATTTCTCTGGCTCAGTGTCCTTGACCAACAGCAGGTCAACACCCTCTGAGCTGCTCCCATCGTCACTGTCGGAATCACTGTTTGAGGTCACAGACAAACTCTCACAGCCAGGAGCAGCTCCTCCACGGCAACTCGCACCGACTGCGACAATTTCGTCATCGTCAGAGTCCAGCTCCGAGCTTGAGTCGCTTGTCGAGTCTGATGAGTCACTTTCATCGTCACTCCACGAGCTGTTGTCACTGCTTGTGCTATCATTGTCATCAGTGCATTGGTTCTGTGGTTCGGCAATGACGTTATCGGCACTTGGGGCATCGCCTGTTGAAGCTAAAGGATTGGAGATGCACAGTGCACGCAAGCCGCTGGCAGCTTCCTCTGTGCCTGCCTCTGCAATGGCGAGCTTGGCTCCCTGCTCGAGCTCCGGAATGTCCAGGTCAAGGTCGGCTTTTCTAACCTTAACCTGCACAAGATTTTTGCATAATGTGTCTCACAAAGGCACAATATTTATTCCTCATTCACTCCTTTCCTAACGAAGTGCAGTAACCGTTAAAATATGCAACTCTTACTGAGTATTTGGGCCAGAAAAATTGTACTTATAACGTGTGACAATAAATAATTTCTGTGTCCGTAGAGTCCTTACCATTTATGTTGTTATGGGTAAACAAAGACGTATACCTAAAGGCCAACAGTGATAGCTGATAATGCGTAACATAACCAGAAACTACAGTGATCTTACTTAAAGTGGTCATGACACCCTACCTTCCATCATAATCTGCATTACGGGGGTTAATCCTTAGACTTTCACAAGTAAGCCTGCAAAATTTCAGCACATTTGGTCGAGCAATTCACTTAAAATAGAATGCTTTATATGCACGCAAATGGCCAGAGAATCGGGCAACACTGTTGCACTTGCTAGCCATGACATAACAAGCTGCTCGCAGTGTGCATCTCAGTTAAACACATTCTTCCATGGTGAGCTGCGCGTGAAACATTTTAGCCCTCTTCAATTTGCCACTGAAATTGAACGGTGACTGAAACTTTGGACAATAGCTCTGTTCCATGCAGCACACGACATGGCCGCAAAATGTCTACGGCTTGTTTCCATATGTATGTCTAGGCATGATAGACCCTCTGTTTTTCTGTGGGTGACCATGTCATGGCCTCTTGAACTGCTTTTGTAAAGCAGTGCTCATCAGGTAATGATTTAACTTGTCATTATTTTGTTTCAGTCAGAAGAGTGACGCAACTGGAAATTTTCGCGATAGCATTGTAGTTGGACGAAACACCACAAGATGATGCCATCAAATCTGCCACTGCCAACGAAAAAAATTTTCTATCTGTAAAAGCACTATGCATCAATGTTTCTATTTTAAAAATATTGCCCTGGCATAAAATGGTCCAGTCTGGGGTTTACTTTTCAAATGACATTTGAACTTCTTGACAGCTAGCACACACACTGTGAAACCAACTTTGAAATCTTGAACCCTTTCAATGAACAGGCGCGAGCTACGTATGTGAAAGCTGCCAGTAGTTTCATAAAGCACTCTTGCAGAGGATGAGCTTTCTTCAATGCTATGGGTTACCACCAATGTCCCGCAGATGTTTGTTACAGTGACCTTTCAAATGAAAACTAAAAAGTAATCCAACATTTACCTTCACTTATGTGGACAATTTGTTAAAAGCCATTCAAAACCAAGTATAAATTCAAATGATCGACTATGACTGTCTCACTTAATAAAAACTACCAGTGAGCATAACAATGGCTAACAAGGAAGTTTCTGGGGTAAAATTGTAGGAGGTGTGCACAATGTAAAAACAAAAGCTGCGCTAGCATATGCCTTTCATGGCTCAACCAGAGGGATGTTAAGCAGCCTAGAAAAACTTGTGCGAACACGGGGGAAAGGCAGAGAGAAGTTCTGGAACTGTGGTAAAGTTGCAACTTGAGTTCCTTTTTATTTCATTTGAAAGTACTATTTTATTTTGACATAATAAACACTTTTGTAAAAACAAAGTGGCTGTCACTGCACGATGTGGGTCACCCCTCGTGTTTTACAGTGCTACTGAAAAAACAAATTCTGACTGACCAAACAGTGCAGCACTGTACACTAATATTGACCCAAGCCTCAAATTGCCCTATGCTTGCAGCGAAGTAAAGGTGTCAAGCAAACCAGAGTGCTACAAAACACACAATGTTCCTTCACCCATGCATCTCATACTATATCACGCTACTATACATAAAGAGAATAGAAACGTACCAACAGCATACATTGCACAAAGACCAAAAGGGCAGCAAATGACAGGAGGCATACACAGTAAACCTCAATTATCTCAAAGTTCTTTGCTAATGTGAGTGGATTCCCATCTATGCACACTGTAATCAGAAACAGTATCCGAAAAGCTGCTTATAGGGGCATTTGTGAAAATAGGCTACAAGGCCTCTACACATGTATGTCATGACCTTGATGCAGTAACAGGCAATGACGACTTTTGTAACATTACAAAAAAAAAATACTGTTCATAAGGCTATTCTCATTGTCATGATCAGAGACTAGTACATTCTGCACTTTGGAAAAAGCAGTAAATTGGGCAGTCATTTCCAGCGTCACTTTCAAATTTCATGTTGTAAACACAAATTACAGAGGTACATTCCAACCACGATTTGATGCAAGTGTTACAGTATGCCAATTAACTTAAGCTCACATAATGTCTTGCTTTGCTTTCTCATTAATAAACAGACCGTCACAAACTTTTATTTATACACTGACTGGGAAATAGCTTACGAATGATATTTGCACCTGCTCGTATAGGTAGTACTATATGATAATTATTAGTGAAGGCAAATGACTTGGATCTATAATTACAAAAGGTAAGAGAACTAGCTTCTTATTTCGCATGTAGTTTCTAAAAGCCATGTTCAACTGTCATGCCCCAGTTCTTGGGCTAAGCAAAAATGTCTGCAATACTTTGTGGTCTTGTTCCCACAACACTTACTTGTGAAATGGTGGTTTGCTAGCAGTTTCATTAAAAATGTCGCTTGCACTACTCTGGCTTTCACCACATGCCTACGAATTTCGGTGAAGGATAAAAAATTGAACAGAACTAAAAATCACAATCAAAGAATAACAAGATAGACTGTGGGATTCATAAATACAATCACACCTTGCTATAACGAACCTGGATATAACAAACTATCGGTTAAAATGAAGTAAATGAAGAATAGCTCAGTCACAGCTATAAATATATATAATAAAATTTTGGATATTACTAAGTATTTTCATGCCAGGTGTGATTTTTTTTTTATAATGCTGTTTGAGTGTACCACAAAGGTTGTTGTCCATGTACATCTGAGATATGATAGGTTACATTTAGAAGTAGGCAACATACCAGTTTCATGGCATCTGCTAGAGACTGCAGGTGTCTTGGACTGAAAAAGTAAGCCATAAATAACACCTCAGTCAGGACAACATCACTATTAAAAAACAAACTAAGAACGTTGCATTCAGAGTTCCACAGTATTGTATAATGCACTTTATAAGAGTATGTCCACAGGGGTAACCAGCTGACTAGCTTTGCAGGTAAATTAGTATTTTTCCATCCTACTTTCGTTCACTTGAGTGGGGCCACTGAGGCAAGTGAAGGCTCAGGTTTCACAGGGTATGCTTCTAACTCATGGGTGGCAAAAAATATTAATGGTGTCAACTAGTACTGCACGATTTGGCAGAGACAATGAGGTTTCACAATACCTGCTATTTAGAGCATGCAAGTGAGTGGATGCAACCTACCACAGGCAGGATTAAAGGGACACTAAAGAGAAACAATGAGTTATTTTGGATTGATAGATTGTACTCTGAAAATGTCATGAGTTTCATCACCATAAGTTTACTGTTAGCGGAGAAAATCAAGGTTGAACATTCATTTTTAAATTCTGTGCTGTAACAGAAGTTAAAAAACAGCGCTAAAAAGACGGGACAAGAAAAGAAAGGACAACAGGACAGGGCGCTGACTAGCAACCAAATATGTTTATTTCTTCAGTCAGCATACATATATACCACCGCACTATCGCAAAAAACAGCCTACGCAGCGGCATGTGAGCCTGCGCAGAGGCATTCCAAAAAATTAGTTTGACAGAAAATTGATTTCCTTCGGAAGGAGGGAAATGGAAGGGAGGCTAACACATGCCTCACCACTGTTATGAATGTGAAAAGCTTCCGAAATGAGACGTGCACGTTCATCGTGGTAGTATGATAAGAAAATGGTATCTTTAAAAGATGGGTGGCAACCGCAGTTGTTACAGTGAAGGGAAAGCTGACTATCTGTAGCGCGATTATGAACTTTGTTTGAATGCTCGCGCAAGCGGTCATTAGCACAACGGCCCGTTTGCCCTATATAACACCGACCACAGGAAAGAGGAATCTTGTAGACAACGCCATGACGACATTTCACAAACTTGTGCCTGTGCTTCTTAGTACATCCTTTTTTGTACGGTGCCTCACGATTAACATGCTGGCATAAGCTGCCTAGCTTATTTTGGGCAGAAAATAGCAGCTTAATGCCTGCCCTGGCGACAACTTTTTTTAAATTGTGCGCTACCTTGTGCACATAGGGGATAACTGCTACGCTTTTTAGCCGGCTATTTTCAGACTGCACAGTGGCCAGGCGCTTGTCCTTACAGACTGCTACTAGGCTTTCAGCAATACTAGTCAAAAGCGTTGCAGGAAAACCTGCAAGCTTCAGGCGGTCAACTTGCGAAAAGAAACACTTTTCAACTTGGTGGTCACAGGACCTGTAGAGCGCCGCCTTCATGCAAGCTCTTGCAATGCCACGTTTAACAATTTTTGAGTGCGCCGAAGAAAAGGGAAGAAGGGCCTTTTTTGACCTGGGTGCGTAACCCCAACACACGTGGCTGTTTGAGAACGACAGTTCTAAGTCTAAAAAGCGTAGTTTGTTATTTGAAGGATGCTCAGTCTTCAATTCAAAAGAACTTAATTCTGCGCGGAACACGTCAATTATTTTAGAAGCAGCAGGCTGCGCGTCAGGTGGGTTAGTGCGGTAAAAAATTAAAAAATCATCCACGTAGCGCATCACTTTTACCGTGCTCGTCTGATCTAGCTTGCTCTCTAGATTGCGGTCAAAGCTAGCCAATAAAAGGTCACTCAGAATGGGGGCGATGCAAGACCCTATGCACACTCCTTTACGTTGTATAAAAAGCTTATCATCCAGGCAGATGAAGGTCGATTGCATATAAAACTTTAAAAGTGCTAAAAACCGATGGACAGTGATTCCACAGGCGTTTTGGAACTTAAGAACCCCGAATCTGTCTATGCAATAGCCTACTTCAGTACACACTTCTTCCTGAGGGAGCGAATAATATAAGTCCTTAATGTCTATGGAAAAAGCGCGCACACCTTCTGGACACTCATCCTGGAGAAAGGTAGAAACAGTACCTGGCGCCCTTATGAGGTAGGGGTCGTCGACGTCGAGAAGGCCCAAGAACCTTTGCAGGAACACTCCCACCTCACGTTGCCAGGTTCCTCGCTCAGAAACTATAGTCCGGAACGGGCACAATTCCTTATGGGTCTTGGCACTGAAGAAAGCTGATAGGCAGGTCTCTTTGCAGGCTTTTACAGACTTAGCCAGTTTTGCAAGTCCGGCTTCTTCGCACAGCTGGACGGCCCTTGTCTTTACCTTCGCCGGAACCACTCCTTTTACTTCGTTGAAGTTCTCAAGAATGGCCGCGGCTGCTTTTTCTTTGTAGAGACTTCGAGGCAACACGACGAATCCCCCTTCCTTGTCGGAGAGGAGAAGCTTCAGCCCTGCTTCTCGAAGAGAGGTAACCATAGTGCGAAGCTTGGCACTGTTGCCTTTTTTTACCCGCTGAGGTAGGCAGTCCACGCCTTCTCTGACGCACCTGTCGGATTCATCCATGCTTGCTTTACCAGCAGCTGTTCTCACCAAGCTGAGCAACTCTGTCTTGTCCAGATCAGGGTGCTCACAATACTTTGGACCGAGCCTCAGAAGATCAGCCACGTTGTTCGGGATTGAGGCTTCTCCGAGCACCAGGACATCCTGACTTGGCACATAATTCCGACGCTTGCTCCTGGGCAGTTGAACGAGTATGTTGCCCCACAGGAAGTCGGCGGTCTGGGACGCCAGTCGTAAGTCTTCAATGAACTTCTTCTGGGCACTGGGGTAAGGCAGTTCGTTGCGGTTCAAAAACTGCAGGCAGTCGGTGTAGAAGCGTACTTGTCGCCATGCCTCAGACCTCAAAATCCGGCACATTCTTTTTGCGTGCCCTTCTGAAGGCCTCATAGCCCCAAAAAGAAGGGCAACTTCTGGCGGAAGGTAGGAATGTTTGAGCGAGTAGGCCTTCAAATAACAAACTACGCTTTTTAGACTTAGAACTGTCGTTCTCAAACAGCCACGTGTGTTGGGGTTACGCACCCAGGTCAAAAAAGGCCCTTCTTCCCTTTTCTTCGGCGCACTCAAAAATTGTTAAACGTGGCATTGCAAGAGCTTGCATGAAGGCGGCGCTCTACAGGTCCTGTGACCACCAAGTTGAAAAGTGTTTCTTTTCGCAAGTTGACCGCCTGAAGCTTGCAGGTTTTCCTGCAACGCTTTTGACTAGTATTGCTGAAAGCCTAGTAGCAGTCTGTAAGGACAAGCGCCTGGCCACTGTGCAGTCTGAAAATAGCCGGCTAAAAAGCGTAGCAGTTATCCCCTATGTGCACAAGGTAGCGCACAATTTAAAAAAAGTTGTCGCCAGGGCAGGCATTAAGCTGCTATTTTCTGCCCAAAATAAGCTAGGCAGCTTATGCCAGCATGTTAATCGTGAGGCACCGTACAAAAAAGGATGTACTAAGAAGCACAGGCACAAGTTTGTGAAATGTCGTCATGGCGTTGTCTACAAGATTCCTCTTTCCTGTGGTCGGTGTTATATAGGGCAAACGGGCCGTTGTGCTAATGACCGCTTGCGCGAGCATTCAAACAAAGTTCATAATCGCGCTACAGATAGTCAGCTTTCCCTTCACTGTAACAACTGCGGTTGCCACCCATCTTTTAAAGATACCATTTTCTTATCATACTACCACGATGAACGTGCACGTCTCATTTCGGAAGCTTTTCACATTCATAACAGTGGTGAGGCATGTGTTAGCCTCCCTTCCATTTCCCTCCTTCCGAAGGAAATCAATTTTCTGTCAAACTAATTTTTTGGAATGCCTCTGCGCAGGCTCACATGCCGCTGCGTAGGCTGTTTTTTGCGATAGTGCGGTGGTATATATGTATGCTGACTGAAGAAATAAACATATTTGGTTGCTAGTCAGCGCCCTGTCCTGTTGTCCTTTCTTTTCTTGTCCCGTCTTTTTAGCGCTGTTTTTTAACTTCTGTGAACATGAACCAACCAGCCCAAATGCGTACGCTTCTGTGCTGTAACCTCCGAGTGAGACGTAACAAATTCTACCATCTATTTTCGGCGTTTTCGCAACATTGGCTCGATAAAGTTTTCTTACACTTCGTATGCTAAGTCTATGGCACCCACAGACTACAATGTATTTAATTTTTATCAATTAAAAGCTTTGCAGGACCCAGTAGACGCCTTAAAAATTCTATGAAGTCACAGTATTTGGTGCGGAAATCTCAAGGTGGCGTCGCCACCCGCATTTTTTTTTCAAGCGTTTTCTCGCTTATGGAGAGTCGTGTCGCAGCAAGAGTGGTGTTTTTGGAGTCACAAAATTGTACTTCACTAATACGTGGAAAAGCGTTTTGCTCTTTAGTGTCCCTTTAAGCACTGACACAATCTGTTTGCAACATCAAGAAAGGTGGCCCATCGTTGCAGTGGAAACAATCTCTGCTTTCAAGAAGGCAATCATTGAGTGCAAGCAATATTTCCTCTAGGCATAATGTCATGCATTGCACCAGGAAGATGTGCATACGAGATAGCAGAAAACAAAACTACATCTGATCATTACGTGAAAATGCCTGTGGGTACTTGGCATCCCACTATAAGGGGTGCTGCCATCACCCCTTGTAAAATCATTTTTGCTTCATTATGCCAGTGCATCAGAGTTAAAGGGATACTAAAAAGCTAAACGACTTTTCGTGTAAAAGTAAAGTACAATTTCCAGATACCGAACCATTCTTATTGCGATACGACGCTTTGTAAGCAAAAAAACACGCAAAAAGAAAATATGGGTGGAGCTACCACTTGAGATTCTCGCACCAAACACCGTGACGTCATAGAATTTTGAAGCCATCTATTGGGTCCTACGTAGCTTCAAATCAATAAAAACTTATTGCGATACGACGCTTTGTAAGCAAAAAAACACGCAAAAAGAAAATATGGGTGGAGCTACCACTTGAGATTCTCGCACCAAACACCGTGACGTCATAGAATTTTGAAGCCATCTATTGGGTCCTACGTAGCTT